CCAACGAGGGCATGGAGAGGGCCTCTGGCCCCTCCTAGGGTCACCTCCACTTCCCTGGGGAGGACTGACCTCGTTGCTGATATATCTCTATGGTGGTAAATGGCATCTATTCCCTGGAGTTGCACAGTCTACAACCGCAGCAGCTGTTCATGGCTGCCCTCCTATGGAAATTCTCAGCAACTAAAAACAGGTGCACTGGGATACAGCCCTGTACCAGGCACAATGAGAGAACAGAGTAGCAGGTAGAATTCCTATAGCTTCTAGATTCCTGAAGATCTAAAAGATACGTAATTCCAGCTAAGACAAAGGCCCAGCTCCCCTAGAAAGCAATGCCATCCACACCCCTCTTGATCATCTGAATTGGAGTGGGGACAGCACCAGCGTTTGACATTTACAGGCGTGTGTTTATCTCCCAGAGCCTCAGTTTCCTTGTCTGTTAAATGTGGATAGTATCCTTTTTATTTCCCATCTGTCTCTGTGAGGTAAAGAACTTGAAAGTCCTCTATCAACAGTGCAATCCTGTTCAGACCCCAGGACCTGTCCCTATGTCCACCTGCTCCTCCCTGGACTCTAACCTTACTGTTACTGTACACAGCTGTGGGAAGTGTTCATTTTATCTAATGCCTGCGTAACCCACGCCAACTAGATCTATGTCTCCAGCTTTACAGGTGGGGAAACTGAGACTCTGTGAGGATAACTGAAGCTCTGGTCCTTCCCCTGCCATTCTGGTGGATGCCCCGGGAGCCAGAAAGATTACAGTAATCAGCTAATGCCTGAGCAGGGCGGGAAGAGGAAAAGCCCTCATTGGAAGCACTAAGTATGATGATTAAGTCAGAGGGTGGAATTAGTGGCACAGAGGGGGCGGCAGCAGCCATCAGGAGAGGATTAGTGACTTGCTGCTGGTTTCAGGGTTTAAGTGGATGCAGGTTGGAAGGGGAAGACACTGAGAAAGGCTTACAGATTCCTGGTGCTCCTCACACCTGCCAGGACCAGGACTCTGTGGGCCTGCAAGGCAGCAGTCACAACTCAGTGTTGAAGGGACAGGCAAGTGTTATGGTGGAGAGCTGAAATGTGGCTTTCTCCCCACCCCAGGCGCATTGTGTTGAAGGTGCTAACTGCTGGGCTCTGGGGAAACCTTGGATCATGAGGCTCTAACACACTGAGGCTCTAATCCATCAGTGTGTTCATAGCTGAATGGGTTTATCAGGAGGTGGGGCCTAAGCAGATGAAGCAGGTCACTGAGGGTGTAGCTTTGGAGGGCATATTTCGTCCCCACCCCTTCCTCTCTGGCTCTTTCCTTTTTGCTCTTCTTCTTGGCAACCTTGAGGCAAGCAGCTCTCTTCCGCCACACCTTCCCACCACAGTGTGCTGCTTCTCTACCAGCCTAGCACAGCAGGGCCAGCTGACCATGGACTGAAACCTCTGAAACCATCAGCCAAAGGAAATCTTTTCTCTTTTAAACTGTTTATCTCAGGTATTCGTCACAGCGATGCAAAGCTGGCTAACACAGGCAGCGTCTTCACAAAGAAAAGTGGGCCATTAGCAGCTCGTGCATCCACATGGCTATCTGGTCAGCACGAAGCTCCTGAGGACCCACCAGGTCTCTGATGCTGGGCTGGGCACCAAGATACAGCCCAGAATGACGTGGAAAGCACTCTCAGGGAGAGACACTTAACACTAATCGGATAGTACTAGGGAACTATTGTCAAATTCTTAAGTTAATAACAATATCGAGGTTATTTCCTATTCGAGAAGACTGTTTTTTGCACAGTATTAGGATTACAGCAAAATTGAACATAGACTGTGTATCTCCTGCCTCTTACACATTGTCCCCCATTACCAATAACCCCCTTCAAAAGGGTACATTTGTCACAACTGATGAAGCCACATGGAGATATCCCTGTTACCCAGAGTGCACAGCTCACAGCAGGGTTCGTTCTGAGTTCTGCACACTCTTTGGGTTTCAATACATGTATTTATATATTTGTGGTTATATTTTATAAAGGAGCCCTTGGGGTTGCGGATATAGCTCAGTGGCATAAGCACCTGCCTGACAAGCCCAAGGTCGTGAGTTCGATCTCTGGTACCAAAAAAAAAAAAAAGAAACAAATATAAAGGAGCCCTTATCTTTTCATGATGGGATATATACCAGGATGATACCAGGCTTAGTGGAGGCAATGGTATGATGCCTCCATTAATGGGGATGGAGGCTGGGCAAAGTAGAAACACAAGACTGACACTGAGCTGATCATGGTGGAGGCGGGGTGAAGAGTCTGTGCAACCCACAATACCATTCTGTTTCCTTTTATTAATGTTTGAAATTTTCTGTAATGAAAACTTTGTTTCTGTTGTTGTTTTGGAGAGACAGCCTCCCTAAATTTCTCAGGCTGGACTTGAATTTGTAATCCTCCTGCTCCAGCCTCCTGAATCAGATGTGTACCATCCTGATCAGCGTAATAAGTTTTTATTTAAAAACACACTGGCAGGTAAATAATTACCCCTTGTGAGAAGTACCACAAGGAAGATTAAATGGTGTGTTAAGGGAATATTGTAAAGGAACCCCATTTTGACTGGAGGAGCAGGGTAGTCAGTTTCTGGGAGGGTGAGACACTGGGGCATCCTAAAGCCTGGTAATGGCCAATGCAACCCTTTCTCTCCCTTCCCTCCGTGAAGGGAAGGCTGCCAGTGTCCTGGGGAAAGGGTCTTGCCTTTTGGATAGCACCAGCAGCCTCTGGTGGAACAGGGTCTGGCGAACAAATGAACTGCAAGTGTGCATGTGTGCCTGACTTATCTACCATGGGAACTGCATTCTTAGGCCAACCTTGAGGAGGGGAGTAGGACTCACACTTTACAGATGAGAAAGATGAGGCTCCAAGAGGCACAAAAGAGCTCAAACAAATTCAGCAGCTGAGGTAAAGACTAAGGTTATGATCTCACTAATGTCCCCCACTGCACTCCGTCTCCCCTCATCTGTAAACATGGCCACCATTCCTGAATGGCAGGGAGAGGAACTGTTAACTAGCCAGGCAGCTGGGATCCCCAGCCATAGTGCTGTGGGTCAGGGAAGGCAGGGCCATTCCTCTTGAGAGGACAACTGAGAGCACAAGGCAGATGACAAGGGAGAGGGCTGTACTCATCCTGTGCATAAGTACGTGTGCTTGCAATATTTGACCCAGAGTCCTTCTGTCCCTGGGTATCCTGCCTGCCAGAGAAGGGTAAGAGTGACAAGAGAACAACATGTCACTCCTGCCCTCCCAGCGAAGAGCCGCAGCACCCTCTGCACTCAGGCAGACCTCATTCAGACATCTGACCAAGCCACCAAAATCTTCCAGACTGTGTCCTCATAAACACGATACTCGGGGACAGTAAAAAGAGATGGGAAATACTGCAAGCACACACACTCCTGCACAGGCAAAGATTTTTGTGTTTGGCTGACCCGGGGCCTCGGATGAAGCGATTCAGCAGTTTGTTGTGAGTCACCGAGCTGTTGCTCCTAGAACAGAGAGCAGCACGGCTTTATTAACTTGTGGGGATGGGCTAGCGGCTGATATTTTCACTGGCCAGGCACAGTTCCAAAAGATGTTTCTTGTAATGGATTTGGATCACTGGGTGGTCATGGTCAACTTGTCTTTGAGGTCACTGAATTTTTGTGTATCTCGTGCTATCATCTTGAGCAAAATATCTTAGCCTTGTGGGTCTGGACCCTATAATAGGGGCAAAGGAATTTGGATGTGTGGGTTTTAGTGGCTTCTGAAGAAGCACCAGGGTGAGGTAGAAGAGAAGGAAGAGAGAGGGGAAAAAAACCCAAAAATCAAAACACATACCAGTTCCAGTTGGCAGTAGGCCAAGTTAACCCTGCATTATATCCTTGGACTTACATTTTTAAATGATCAGCATGTCTAGGTACAGAGCTTGGTAGACTCTGATCCAAGAGTTGAGACAGCAAAGGGGACAGACACAATATGACACAGATGCCAATCTTTGTGCTCCACTCGAGTCACCCATCAGATCTCTAGGCTCAAGTGAAGGGTCAATATTTTCAGCACAAGTGGCCTTCAGGTCCCTGGGAAGTAACCTAGGCAACTGTTATCATAACCCCCACATCAGAGGTGTTATTTTACAGAAAAGCTAGTGGGAAGTTAATCACGTATTGCCCAACTGTGTATCTTCCAAAATTACTTTTTACATTAAGAGCAAGTGAGGCTAGAAGGTTTTTCCTTGGTAACAATTTCTCATTTCATGCAAATATATTTCTTTCATGGTTTTATCAGGGTCTCTGGATAGGTCTGTTGAAACATGTCACACTATAAAGGCTAATAGTTTATTGACCCCAGGGGCTTACTTTTTTGTCCCAGCCCACTGGCCCACTATAATAATCCCTAGCTGTCTCAAGAGGTCACTCCCTCCCCACCAAAGCATTGTAAGAGCAAAGCAGGCAACAAAAGCAAAGCGTTTAGCATTCAGTCCTCACCAGTCACCCTCCTCTTTCTCTCTGAGCAATGACACCTTCCCTGAAGATGTCTCAGATGGTGTTCTCTGGAAGCAGACTTGAGGCAAGGTTTCAAGTGCAAGTAGTTTTTTGGAGGTGATCCCAGGAAAGTCCAGCTGAAGAGTGAAAATGTGAAACAAGGACAGGAAGGAAACCCAGAAAGGTATACTACTGAGCAGGCTGCCACGGCAGACAGCTGGAGCTCACACCCTGGGATACAGTGCAGTACAGAAAAACAGTGGTTCTCAAACTTGAACATGCATCAGACTCCAGAGGGATTTTCACACACCAAGGGCTGGACCTTGCCTCCCAGTGTTTTTAAGTCAGTGGATGCTGGGTAGGTTGTGAATTTGCATTTCTATCAATTTCTTAAGCCCTGCAGATCACTGCCTGGCTAGAAACACAGAAACTGTAATTCCCTTACAAAATCAGATGAGGATCCAAAGAAATGTTCCCTGTAAAAAACCAGGCCCACAGATCCTCAGCAAATAGAAGTTACCATTTTTATCACTATTTGTTCCTTTTTTTTTTTTTTTTTTTGAGGAGGCTCGATGATCTTCTCATTCCTTCAAGTCCAGGTAAGTGTGAGGGAACTAGGGACAGGAAAAGCCTCCTCTAGAATTGGTTGGCAAGACACCTCCTCCTCCAGCTGCCACCGGGGTATTCCCCTTCCCAGTAGCTCCGCCCCCTCACCTGGGCGTCCTCCAGTTACCTGGTAACCGCCACGGCCCCGCGCAGGGATTGGCTGTGTGGCTCACTCCCGGCATGCCTCGCAGCTCTCGGAAGTCGCGCTGGAAGATCTGCGTTGCCACCGGTGGCTGTTTCTTTGCCGATGGGGATCCGGGCGGGGCGGACCGCTGGGGCAGGTCGGCCTTGCTTGGTGTGTCATCGCCAGTCCGAGTCCTTGGGGGATTGTCCACAAAGGCAGGGATTTGACGTCTTCAGGGAGCACCCTCTGGACAATTTGAGCCCATATCTGCAGCCACTGCCGCGCCTCCCTATCTCGGCTCTGTGACAGTGGGCACAATGACCGGAAGCCTCTGTGCCTCTCCGGTATTAATACTAATAGTGAATCATAGTGACACTTTCATTGGTTACTTCCCTTGTTACCATTCTAATGTTGAAGTCTAAGAGGTAGGAATTATTACATTTTTATAGCTACGGAGACAGAGGCTCAAGAAAGAATTTAATTTGCCCCTATTGAGCCTCATAGGACCAGATTTCCAACTCCAGGTAGTACATCTCCAGAGCTCGTGATTTTATTTATTTATTTTTATTTATGTATTCATTCATTCATTCATTGAGACAGGGTCTCCCTGTGTAGTTCAGGCTGGCCTTAAACTCATTATGTAGCCCAAGCTGGCCTCGAATTTGGATGATCCTCCAGCTCCTGCCTCCCAACTGCTGGGATCACAAGCCTGGGCCACCACGCAGGGCTAAAAGCCTTCTTGAGGAGATTGAGGAGAGAGGTGGTTTGCCCAGGTAAGTTAGGGGTAACCCATAATATATCAGGGACACGTTGCCGTGTCCACTTAGGAACAGTTTGGGACTTGTTTCCACTACTCCCCGGAGTTTCAAGCCCTTATAAATTTCAGGCTGCTCTGACTTGTGTCCTCAACTTCCTACTTACAGTTCTCTCCACTTCTGTTTTTACCCCTTCCTGTCCCTTTCCCATTTATAGCTAACTTCGTGGGTGAAGCCCTTTGCCTCTGAAAAATGGCCAGGTTTCTTCCCTAAACTTAAAAGGAACAATCAGTAATCTCAGAATTCTTTCTTTTCTTGGTATAATGGAAATAGGGAAAAACCAACCACAAAATGAGAACTCTTGTTAATGGTGCCCTGAATTTAGAAGGGGGAGCTTATCTAGCCTGTGGCTCTGGTTTTGAGGGAAGACAGCTAAATGTTCTAAATGAATGTTTGTTCTAAATGTCAGGCACACCATTCTGGGGAAACCATCCTACCTGGGTTTCATGATAAAACTTGAATGATACCTGCTATATCCAAAAACCACTTGTGTTTTTAAATTGAGTATTTTTAAATTAAGTTGCTTTACTTACATTTATTTTTTAAAAAAACATGTATCATTATGTTAATGGAAACTAATATCACTTGTCATAAGCTTAAAAGAGAAAAACCTTAGAAACAAATTATTTTCAGCCATGGTGGCACACACCTATAATGCAGCACTAGAGAGGGTGAGGCAGGAGGATTGCCTGAATTCCAGGCCAGGCTGAACTACCTAGCAAGACTGTCTCAAAAAAAAAAAAAAAGAAAAGAAAAGAAAAGAAAAGAAAAGAAAAAAAACCTACATTTTTTTCAGTTCTAGTGGGCATGACCTTAACTGAGGCCTGACCTTGTTAAAAAACAAAAAGGGAGAATATTGAGTTTTATTTAGCTACATGTCAATTAATTCAAGCACTAAGCTGGAAGTTTCTCCTATGGGTAGTCAGGATTGAAAGAACTGAAAAAAGAATGTCCACGTGCTGAGTGTTAACACTGCTCAGTAGCACCTGAGGTCACCCAGCACAGGGCCAGCCGTTCACCTTCCACACCCCGGTAAACAGTGGCCCACTCAGGTCTACTGTCCAGCATTTGCCCTGATTCTCTTAGGACTATGTGACAGGTGGGGAGCAGGAGATTGGCCCAGGTGGGTTCATCATAAGCCTCCCACTTTCCCCAGCTCTGCATTATGGCCTTCTCAGGCGTGGGTGAAATGAACTGGCCCGAACTCACGTGGTTGCTAGCTGCCTGCTATCTTTGACTAGAAAACTTTCTCCATCTGCCAGTTGAGGACCTCCATGCAACCTTCCAGGATGGAGACAGCACAAGGAAGACCAGGCAGCACCACTCTTCCTGCAGAGTTACTACTTGAGCAAATACCTGGATTCCTGGAGCCTGCTCCTACTCCCACTCACTCCCACTCCCACAGGATAGAGCCTATGGCTTTTCTTAGTATCATCTTGTCTCAGGCCATGGGGTCTTCACAGTGGCAGTGGAATGCAGCTCTATCTTGTTACTGTAATGCAAAAGGGAGACGAGCCATTGCCCAGGGATGACTTCCAATCCTGCCCATGGTCAGTCCTGCATGGCCCTGGGGGGTGGGGGGGATGTTTAAGAGAGGGAAGAAAGGGAGCTGCTGAAACCTAACTTTTAGTCACCCTGGCTACATTTCCCAGTAAGGCACAGCTTTGACTCTAGTAAGACAGAGAGGGAGGAATGAGGGGAGGTACAGATCAAGAGGAAGCTAAGAGGTCTTCTTGGCTCCAAGGAAGTAGAATTCAAACTTACAGTGATAAAAACATTGATGAAGGGCTGGGCATGTAGCTCAGTGATAGCGCACTTGCCAGCATGTATGAAGGCCCTGGGTTCGATGCCTAGCACTGCAATAAATAAATAAAAATCTAAAAACATTTATGGACCCAGGACCAGAGTATGAATGGAAGCCCTTACACCATGTATCCCAGTATGTAAGTTATAAATCCAGCAACACTTTTAAAACATGTTTCCTTCTACTTTGATAGACATAACGCTATAACAAGCTGGAAGGTCAGATTGAATCTAGTCTCTGACTTCTACTCAATCGCACATCTGGAGGAGCCTCCCTTGCACACACATGGATATCCCAACCCACACATTCCCCCACTGTGCCAGGTACTCAACACATGGTTCAGAAGGGCAAGTGCTGTGAGCACCAGGCTATCATGTCCTCTTGGTCCTGCAGACTCCTAGCCAGGGCATGGGGTGTGAATACATCCAAGGGCAGTATAATCATCTCAAAAGCTAGTATCTTGCATGCCTTTCACAGTTTATATGACACTGACATGACCAGGAGGTTGAGGGATGGAAGATTAACAGATCTAAGATCCTGAGGCTCAGAGAGGTCAGTGTCTTGCCTGGAGTTCTTGATTCTAAGCCCTGTGTCCTGACTCTTCCCTATTTCAAGAACTGAGAAAACGGGCCCTTATCCAACAGGGTAGGGCCTGAGGATCTTGGGCAGCAAAAGGTAAGGAAAGGGAGATCTCTTGACACCCTTCAAAGAGACCATGAGCCAACCATTAAATACCAATCAGCATGGCATCAACAGGCCTGGCACATTTTGGCACCTGACCTGCCCACCCTGCTTTTTGAGCTTTCGAAGCAGAAGGCAAGTGGCAGACAGCTCTCTCCAGAAAGATAATGTTGATAAAGCAAGGCCGGACTTCTGCATTTTTAGCTCACAAAACATTATTAGAAAATGCAGTCGATTCAGTTTCTGTTTCAAAAATGTTGCTGTTTGGTAATGGCTCATTTCCCTTTTTGAGTCTCAGCAAAGACTCAGCAAAATGAAAAGCAGAGAATATCACCTCTGCAGCTAATGAGCTCCAGAGAACAGGTATGAGGTGTGACCCTGCCCTGGCAGGAGGCCGTTCCTCCACCCCGCCCAGCCCTCCCCAGTTACAGGCCTCCCTGCTGGGGGTGAGACCACAGCTCCTTCCTACTCCACCTCTCAAGCTTGCCCCTTTTCTCACCCCACCCCTCTGCCTCTCCCTCCTGAGTATTTATGGTGGTGGCATCAGCTCAAGGGAGCAGGTGGGAAAAGTTGCACCTGAGTAGTAAGAGCCACAAGCAACGCCAACTGCAGGGGTCGGTGGAGATGATGCGCTTGGCCCTTCAGATGCAGAGGCTGCCCAAGTCTGTGATCACCTTCAAGGGAGGCTGGCTGAGTATCCACAATGCATCAGCTCCTTTAAGAGCTTTGCAGGCTGAGCCCTCAGCTGGAACAGGAGCAGATGAAGCCCTCGCTGTCTCCCCTGCCAGGTGTGAGCTCTTGACAGCCCCTCATCAGTCTTCAGGAGCACAGTGGTTCTTGGAAGTGGGGCTCCTGAGCCGATAACACCAGCATCACCAGGAAACTTGTCAGGAATGAAAGTATTAGAATCCCACCCTGTCCTGTGGAATGGGAATCTCTGGAAGTGGATTCGGCCCTCTGTATCTACTAAGGATTCAGGGACTCTGAGGGCCCCACTGCTTCTAGGAAGGACAGGAGCTGAGTCCAGGCGGCAGGCAGAGCTGCACTGGGAGCTCAGCCCTGCCATGTATGGCTGCGTGCCTGCCTCCTCTGTGGCAGGGATAATACGACTTGCTTGGCATGTGACTGAGTACATTAAGAAAGATTCTGGGGCTGGGGATTTAGCTCAGC